TAACGTTACTACTTAGTTGGTTAGGTTGGTTAGGGGTTAGTTAAGTTATAGTAGTTATACTACTACTACTACGTACGTCGTACGCGTACACAGTAGTATATATATATATATATATATATATATATATATATATATATATATATACACTTATGAGTGGATCCCAACCTGTAGCCATAGAGTGATGCATTTCGAGCCACCAGAATCACAACGAGATGGTAAGCAACACCAAAGTGAATAAACCTTCTCCTCAACCTGAAGAAGTATGAAAGGCAACACCCCAGGCTCAGAACGAAGAGATCTTTTATGCCTGACTCAACCTGAGGAAAGAGAATTCAGCTGGTCTGGAATTAAGAACAATCATCCTCACTCTCCAACCTTGTGCGAATGGTAAATTCCACTTGCCCTGGAATTTCTGGGAGGAGGTGGAACAAACAGTGCTCAACCAAGGAACCAATATTGTTCAAAAAGAAGGGCCAGGCACACCCCAACTGGATAGCCGAGCATTAAATCTGAACCAGTGTTACGACTAGGCTCCTGCATAGGCTGGTGCCGCTTCTACTGACATCTGGGAACAAACATTCAGGGACCCAGGTAGGAGGGCCCCCAACCTTGCCCTCTTCTCCAAGAGTGGAGGAATTCACTAATTCTCTGGTGGAAAAGCCTCTGTCCACTACCACACTGACTAGAAATCAGGTGTGGTAAGGACTTCCCAGCTCCTGTAGTAAAATCTGGGGGGTAGTGCACATTGGAGAGTCCTAAGGGACAGTGCAATAAGTGAAACAAGTTCCCTAAATTTGTAAAACAAACCAAACCCAATTTATTCAATCCAATGATCAGCAGAGACAGCCAAGATCCTCTTATGTTTTATGATAGTCCATGAGTGGCAGTCTAGCATAGCACAGTAATACCAACCTGTCAGCCTCAAGACGGTGTTATGGAACACCTCATTCCTACAGAGCCTGTTGCAACCTAGATATAGTATAATGAATTAGTAGTTGCTAGTGCAAAATTGGTTTGATAAAAGCACACCTGTTTGGGCAACACTCACCACAGAGTGGAATCCTGTGAAAACAAGGTAAGGGACTCTGAAAGGTAGCAATGAAAATACTCACCCCCCTGTATAATCTAGTGAAAGTGGTTAAGATAGCTACAGGGGGTAGGTGAAAACCCTCAGAAGAAGATACTGCCAGATCATACAAATAATGTGAGATAAAAGTATTGGGGGAGATCCACATACCAATCTGCACAATGTCCTCCAATTGGCAATGGAACTGGTCCACTAAGGACATAGAAACGTGATGAATTAGATTAGACGTGACTCGCAGATGATTTCTTGCCCTTCAAATAGAGCCAGAATAAGATATATGGATCAATTTCATATCCACCTTGTCAAAGGATCTGGGTATAAATCCAGTGAAACTGGATGAGCCCAATGAATAAAAAGTAATTTTCTAGCATCTATAAAGGCATTAGAGCAGGCAACAAAACCTTGAATACCCTCACTGAACATAACAATGATCAAAATCTGATCTGTCATAGAAGTAGAATAGTGATCAGATGAATTGGTGCAAAGGATTTATCCCCTTTCCTGTCTGACAGTGTCTTAAGGTAAGAAGAACTGGTCTGAGAACATAGATAGAATGATAAAGCATCCTATGGACAAACAGTGTAAATCACTCTGACCAGCAATGTCTGTAGGTCAGCAGCAATGAAAAATAAATCTTAAAGTGTAGGTGATACATGGCATATGAGAATAAGGTCAAAAATAGGTGTTAAGAATGGGCATGTAATGTAACCTTAATATACCAATTAGGTAACTGGAATGGTTGTTTGGGACAAAGGATCCAAAGTGACTTGAAGAATCTGGAGAGTACTGGGGACTCAAAGAATATTTTGTTGTGAGTATTGAACAGTAGTCGATAAGGCCGCCTTATACAGGGTGGTTGTGGAAGATGCAAAAACACTT